CGCCGAATCACCTATTCAACGTGATGACTCAGTTCACATTCTTTACACCGACTGTCTTTTCGTTTGACATCCTGTCGGTTGTGAGCACAGATTAGAGTCAGACGTCAACCGATTAACATGTCTGGGAAGGTAAACCATAAAGATATGTGGGGATTGTGGTTGCATTACAATTCGGCTAAGGTGTGTGTGTGTGTGTGTCTAATGCTTCAGGAAGGCTCGCGCGACGAGACCTAACAGCAGCCATGCATACTTTGGTTTTGACGAACCGTGATTTCATCTTGTAAATACCTAGTTTCATTTTAGCAATCTGAAGGAATATGCAATTCATCATCAAAAACAGACATAATCGCGCACACAAAATGTGCTGCCGAATAGGCCAGTGAGCAGTATAAGTTGTGACAGCTCCTGTGTTCTCGTCATATCATGCGGTGAACCGGTTATTCCAACACTACTCAAGCAGGAAGTTGAATCAACAGATATGAAGCTGACCTCATTCGGTTTTCACGACCCATGTATGGTTAGTGTAACATGTACGCTCCATTTCGATGACTAACTGTAAACAAACCAGATGAGCGGAGACCAATCTATTTTTTCCACGCTTATTTGCCTACCAGATCCGGGATACCCTAGGGAAAAGCTGAATGCTACCAGGCGCGTCCCCAAGTTGTGGATGAGGGGGAGGGGAGATACATTCACCGAAGAAGGATAGCTGTAAATAAGTTGTGACACACCGCAACCAATAAGCAGTCGCGAACAAACAGCAGCGGCATTACCAGGGTGGTGTGGTGGGTTTCAGGCTGGTCACCTGGTTCCTGTTTGAAAGTCACATAAGCCAATGACGATGTCGCGACAAAGGTCGATATGACTGGCCCTTTAAAACTAAAGCCATTGACCCTCAAACTTCCGAGGTGAGGGATTACTTCCTGCTGCCTAGCAGTTCGTGCAAAGGCTAGAGGTGCGCCCTCTCTCGTACCAACCTCCCAAAGAACTCCATGATCTTGATCATGATCATGTCTGGTGCGCCCTCAAAATAAAAAACGAGAAGCGACGCTGGGGCCGTCTCTTATATCAAACTCCCAAGTAACTTCATGATCAGGTCTTCTACGGCGGAAATCAGACATTCATGGAACCGGCTTATCCCTTCCAAGGCGCCAGCCGTAGTATATTAAAGTAATAAGGATTGCAGCACGACCCTGGTTATAAGTATCTCATAAAAACAATGACGACGAGATATATCAAACCTTTAGCGTTCGTAGGATCTCAGATGAACAAGCTATCGTGCTCCGTTCAGGTTCCAGTCGACGCGGGGCATACGAATTGTTGTAAAAACGAAACAAAAGTTTTGTGCTTGCAAATACTTCCAGAGATGTGTAAAGAACATTGATTCAGCTATGAGGTGAAATCTGAGAGTACTCAAATAATGGTTCATTAAGGCCAGTGAAATAGAACATTAAAACACTTTCGTTCGGATAAACCTTTCATTAAATGAAGGGGCTTTAAGGTCACATATCATTATGATGAGTTTTTCATTCCATGACAACCCCGATGCAAAAAAAACTTCGAAACATGATACCATTTGGACACAGCGAAAATAAGTATTTCATCCTTGTTTGGACTCATCAACAACTCATTTTCGTAAAATTCGAATCTGGACACGAAGAATTATTAACCTGATGCACGAACCACTTCCGTTATCCGGGCTGAGTTCTAGGTCGGTGATCCATTACTGCCGTTGGTTGCACTGAAATCTTCACTCCGGATAAGTGCTTCTATTTCCACCTAAGCGTAGCCAACGATGTGCCGAGTACAATCTGACGTGGACATTTCTGAGCAAGCAATAGCGAGGTAATGCGTTTTTAGTGCGTATTCAACCGCTGGTGACATACGTACTGTATTTGATTTTGATTATCAGATTATTTTATCATGTTCAGAATAATAATTTTCGGGCGAAAACGAATCAAATCGCAGATATCAGATACAGTCACATATAACGCATAATCCTGTGGCATGAAAACGTACCCCAGATGCACACTTGGACGAGGATTTCTCCTCAAAATCCGGCAATAAAGTGAAGCCGTAAATAGTGAACGATAATGCAGCGAGGGACGCTTTTAACACGACGATCGCGTGAGACTCACAGTCATAGTAATCGCTACACGTACATGTAGCTGATCAAATTAGGTGCATGTGATAGAATACGCATTGGGTTGTGACATTTCATCATCAACGGAACTGTAAAACAATAAGCACTGATGGACTTCATTTTCTTTAACTGGACAGAATAATTACGCATTGCACTGGTCGCAACTCACACGATCTGCGACTTTGTTCGTAAACAAAAATGACGTGTGCAGATCGACTATATTCTGCGTATATGTATGCGCGGCGAGCCGATCAACGGTTTGGAAGAGCAAATCATCAATTCCGTGTTGCGTGCCACACGGAGTGTCGATGACAAATTGCTTGCAGTTAACCACATTCGGCGGAAAAAGAGACCGAATGAGCGGATTTATCAAATGGAATACAGCTGAAGTGTACACTCGTGCTATCAGGAAAATCCGACTTGATCGCAAACCGTATTTGAACAGTTTCATGTTTCTAAAATAAATCCATGTCTATTCGGAATGTCCGAAACTATCCTACTTAAACGGTGTTTATGTTCAGCGATCGATCGATGAACCTGCACGCAGCATAAGTAAACACACAAGTACAGACACATACTTCTAATAATAACTGGGTAAAATGACAGAGAGTTACACACGAGTCTAGCGGGCAAATAACATTCTGTTTGGACCCGAAAGCGTTCAGGATGAGAATAGGAATTACTGAAAACAAAAACATCAGAACACACATGAAGCACAAAACAATCTCGGTTCGATCGGCTGTGATTACCTCCTGAATCCGGGTGAACGCCACGCTACCTCGAAGCACTTGACCGTAAAGAAGCGACAGTTGGGCGAGTGAACGTTGAACCGTTTGTGTCGTGGCCAAAAAAGACATCAATTCGCCGGGATTAATTTCATTCCGCGAGAGTAGGTGACCTCCGACATAGAGAACAACGAGAACGACACCTGAATAGCAAAAGGGGTCAAATTGGGAGAAAAATCGGTGTCAAATGCATTGAATGTGGTTCGTGAAGCCGCCTAACATATGAGACAAGGCGTTTAGAACTCGCGTTTTGTGTTGTTCACAAAGTACTCAGCAGACATTTACGATGTACGAAACAACGATGAACAAAATCTCGTATCGCACCAGTCAGGCATAGTTCGTGCGCTACAACCTTCTGTCATAAACAGGACTGGGATAATCAGAGGCACATTTCAAATTGAGTTATTACGCCTTGTTGAGGTGCATCGATTAACAGCTTGTGAAACATAGCTCTTTGGGGGAAGTCCGAGAGACCGCACGAGACGTTGGGAGGGGAAAACAAAAGGGTCACCAAATTACTTTTTCGAATTCCTTAAGCAGCCCCCGAGTGGAAGGGATTCTGGTGGAAAAAATACTCAGTGACAAAACACTTGAGCCAGTTTGACAAACCTAATCACGATCAATACCTTACGCACGTGTTTACGGTCCAGATGAGAGATTACGATTGGGGCAATTTTGCGAAACAAAGAAAACGGAACTACGCTGTATACAGAAATACGTAGTGCGACTTATTCCAGACGTGAAATTTTTGTTGTTCTCTGCGCACAAGGGTCCTATGGGAGATCGGTAGGAATGACAATACGCATGAGAATTGATGCTATCTAGGTTGACCCAATGTGAGAGTAGTGTTTCTGTTAAACGGAAAGAATCATTTCACGGGCTGTGACGGAATGGTAAAATACTGGAGCGCTTAGTCAAATAAACTGAAAACAATCCATTCCAGAGTCTCAAGCTTGGATTCACCCATTCGATTGTTCCGAAGCACCAGGTACTCTTGATAGTCTTGGGTGTGGGTTTCACTCCTTGGGAGATCGTTAGTTCCCCATGCATTCAAACGCCATGGAACTGTATGTCATAACTGACAAAGAGTAGTGGGCAACATTTCGTCTTGTTTGGGACTCGAACATTTGGGTCGGAACTTCAAGCCCTTACCCCTGAGCTACACGGTCGACGGTCATCATCTTGTGCGAATGGCTTAATCAGTTTTACGGTACCAAGCTTGGATTAGCCCATTCGATTGTTCAATTCATTCTATTTATCGTTTCAAACTGAGTTTAGTTCAATTCAAATTAAACCATTTAGGTATTAAGTATGCGCAGGAATGTATTGGCTTGGTTGAACTGAACATGTCCTGCGCGGCATTCCCCCGGTCCAACCTGGCGTGTCAACTCAAAGATATCCGAAATTAACCAATAACTGAGGTCAGTCCTTTTTAGATAAGTTCGGCTGCATCAAGATCGAGCCGGTTCAAGTAAAAAGACAAAACTTTATGTGGGTCTTTGAATTCTTAATCAGCCAGC